GACACCATATGGAAGGTTGCTCTGCCTCTTCTAGCCTCCTAGATCCACTGTAAGATTAATCTAACTGTTACATAAAATTGATTGAGTACAATATACCCTTTAGTCTAAGAGCAAAAGAAAAAGGCAGTGCGGAGTGCGCGCAAAAATGTTTCTTCTTTTGCATATTTTACGGGACCCTCTCTGCGAAATGACTGTGAAAACAGGTTTGATGGGATGGAAGCGAGATGTCCCCGGCTCCAGCTCCAGCTCCGGCTCCAGGTACTGCTCCTGCTTCCTCGCATATCATTTTTTTTGGGACAGCGCGGACTCCGCTCGTATTTATTCAGGGACTTTCCCCTCAATAGGTATGTACTTGTGTGTATGTATTTGTGCATGAGCGTTGTCAGCTTGCAGATTTCTTATTTCTTTCAATTCCTGCTGTTTTTCTTCTCTTTTTGTGCTCACATGGCGAGAAATTAATTTGAAATTTAAATGCGCATTGAGCAAGCTTGCTGCTGGGAAAAGCGTCTTTGATGACGCCACGATAACGATAACGATGGAGATGAGTGCTTCCATGGCTGGAAAAACACATGTTCTCATCGCCTGTATCTGTGTTGGGGTGTGTGTGTGTGTGTGTGTGTGTGTACAGCATAATGAGGAAGGTGTGACAAATGTTTATGAAGTGTGTATTCCCATTCGACCATAATGGCCACTATTCGTGGCAGGTCCCTTCTTATCGCGCCATGTACACAGCTCCCCCTCCTACCTTGCCCCGATTACTTTTTCACCCATAAAACGAAACAAATAAAAATGGAAATGCTAATTGACTAATTTATTCGGAAAAGTGTGGCAGCCAAAGGTGCGGGACTGCCGTTTCACTGCCCTCGTTTCAGTCCAGGGGTCTGCTTGTAATTTAAAATATTTATTTATGTGTTGTGCGGGCTTACCCATTTCCCCCCGCCCCCTCCATCATGTACTTCTCACCTGCCCCCCTGCATCCACCAGCACAGGCAGTGCGCTATTTTTATATTCACTTACTTTTTTGTATTTTATATTTTGTGTGTGTTGGCATTGAGGATTTTGCGCTTCGTCAATCAAAAGCATTTAGAGCCAGCGGCAGCTTTAATGCATGCGCGAGCTTTCATTAACAAGTGCCCGGGCCACGCCCACTTCTAAGCCGCGCCCACAGAAGCACGGCGGACAGCAACAAATCGCATCAGCGGCTTATGCAAATGCCTGTGTTTGTGTCCGTCTCTATCTATGTCCACTTGTGTGTGCGTGTGCCTGTGTCTGTGTGTGTGTGTGTGGGTGTTGAGTGAATACGAAATTATTGTTTACAACTGTAAACTGTAAGCTTCCTCCCCCCGCCTACACCACGTCTCTCTGTTTGTGTATTTTTTAATACCCGATACTCAAAAAGCGTATAGGGTATATTCGATTTGAACCAGAAGGAAGTGCGTCCAACCCCATAAAGTATATATAATATCTGCATCAGCATCAATAGCCGCGTCGATAGAGCCATGTCTGTCTGTCCGTTTAGATCCCAGAGACTATAAGAGCTAGAGCAACAAAATTCTGTATCCACACACTGTTATAAGAGTCCGCAAAGGACGAAAATCTGTGACATGCAAAGTTTTGAAGATCATATCCACCAGATCGCCGAGTCTGGGTCCGATCGCTTCAGTATTATAGCCAGAAGGAACTAACTCATCTCTCTCTCTCTCCCTCTTCCTCTTGCAGTATGTGCCCTCTGGCGGTGGGGAGCCGTACTGACTGAGTGTCGGGTAGAAATGTAGAGTCGCGGCCGTAGCTGCGACTCGCAACGTTCCTGCTCGTTTTTTGTTGCTCTTTGTTTTTTTTTTTTTTGCATTTAGAAAAACGTTTGCAAACCGCACTAAAAGCGACTTATAACATGTTGAGTGCCAGGAGATTAACAACGGACCGAACGTGTGAGGGGTGTGAGGTGGGTTCCGGGATCCGGTGGTGCCCCAATGCGGCAGGCGAAGGACTCTTTCCATGTATTCTCGCCCTGGAAATTCCTTTTTAATGAGCGCTGCGTCCAGTCCCGGAACGAGGGGCGTTCATAAGCTGCTTAAGGTTTGGCGTAATCAAAAAATGCTCTTCTTCTGCATCTCTTTTTTAAAAGCATTCTGTGGCACATCAGCATGAAAGCCAGAAGGGGGAGAGGGGCATGGAAAGTGGACTGCCGCACCCATGCACCCCCCACCCCGCACCGATGAGAGAACTTTGTTAAGCTTGAAATTAACTTGCGGTTATGTCTGGCGCAACTTTGACGCCTGCAGGTAGGCAATCAATTCGGTGCCCCCCCCTCCCCCCCTCCCGTTGGTACTCCCACTACGCCCACTAATCCTCACTGCCTCCCACTGCACTTGGTTATATAATTAATGTATGCCTGGTGCGGGAAAAAGTGTGGCAGCTAAAATTTTTATACAACACAGCAGCTGGCGTCGTTTTAGCGCTAATTACCTCACTCCCAGCCCCAGCCCCATCCCCAGTCGAACCGAGGGTGCACCACTCACTCTCTGAGAGAGAGAGAGACCTGAGCCCGGCCAAGACCCAGGACCGGAGCAGTCGTAATGCCAAATTGCAATTACAGCCAACTTTGGACGGAGGAGGTGGCGAGGTGGGGAGGTCGGTGCCACACTGACATTAAAATGCTTAATGCTCAGGCAGGTATACAAAAATTACGCGCTCTTAAAATTAAAAAAAAAAAAAAAAACAAGTAGAAAAAATGTACAACTTGCTTTGCTTCGTTTCTTTTTTACTGCTCTGCTCCTTCCCAAGCCTTTGCACAGGGTTTTTTCCAAGGCAGCAATTTGCCATAGTCCTCGTTTAGGGGTCCGGAATGCTGCTCATCTTAAAAATTGGCCAGGTGAAAAATTGCAGCTGTCGTTGTTAGTCCTTCATGTGCATGTTGCCGGCTTGGGCCCTGCCTTCTGGCCAGGTGCTGTGGGCTGGGTGCGGGGTCGTGGCCGGTCGGTTGCCGAGTCACGGGTCGGGCCAGGTCAGGCACTCGAAGCGTGTATTGCTTCGGGCAAAAGGTGGTCCCAAGCCAGCGTAATTGGAGTTAAAGTGCAGTTGTATGTAGGCCTGAAGCGGAGACGAAGCTCCGCAGTTGTACAGGGAAAGAATTATGGAAATGTTCGGGGGACCAGCTTTCAACTTACACAGATTTCATCTTAGATTGAGAACCCTTTTCGATCATTGGGGGGAGGCATAGAGGGGGCCTCGGGATACGCTTTGATTTTCTGGATATCGACTGCAATCAGCTATAAAATGTGACGGCATCCCCTTGAAATTGAAATTGACTTAAGCCCCAAGTGTTTGCACTTGCCTCTGAAGTGGAATTGGGTCTCGTTTTGTTTGTTTGTGGCTGCGGCGCCTCACTTGCGGCTATATTTTTGAAGTTTTCGCCAGCTCTGAGCCAGAGCCATAGCCGTAGCCAGAAAAAGTGTAACTGTGGCCCGGAAGCTCAGAGGCAACTGGCATCGATTTGAATGTCCCTGAATCCACGCACACAGACAGCTGTAATTACGCGGCTGGAGTTGTCCTCCGTTCTGCCGCAGTTGCTGCCACAGTTGGTGCCACAGTTACTGCCACAATTCGTGCCCCATCCTGTCGCCATCATCATCATCAACTTCCGCCTAAGTAAACACATGATTTCTCAGGCAGCAGTAGCAGCCGCAGCAGCAGCAGCGCGGCGTTTGTTTAAAAACGCATCTAAATTGCAAATTAAGCAACAAATTTCATCAACAATATTTGAATTTGAATTTAAATGCGGCAACGAGTTGTCGACTTGAGAATCGCAGCGTCCCAAAGAGAGAGAGAGACATAGAGAGAGAGAGAGAGGTACACGGATGGAGCGGCAGAAAGAGACGACAAACACACAAAACCCCAAATGTAAAATTCGTTTGCTGAAAGAGCGATAGAGAGTGAGGGGTAAGGATGGTTCTTGGATGGAGACTTGGGATTGCACTGGATGGATGCTGCTGCTGCCTGTAAACACCGAAAATACAACAATGGCGCCAGTCCCTGCCATTCTCCCTCTTGCACAGAGAAAGCCCCCCCCCCCCTTTCTCTAGTGTCCCGGCAGCTGGTTTGTGTATTTGCTTGTTTGTTTGTCAAAAGAAGCAATTTACGTGCAAAATAACTCAAGTGTCATGCAAATTTCATTTATTTTTCGCAAGAAGCAAAGCGAGAAAAAAGACGAAATAATTCCCGGGCTACGTTGTCATAGAGCTAACGGTTCTTCGCTCTATAGCTATGGCTACAGCCGCACTCCTAGTCCCAGCCGCAGCCTCAGCCTCAGTCTCAGCCTCAGCCTCAGCTTCAGCCTCGACTATACGACGTATATGGTGATTCCTTACAAAATTCGAGCATAATGAAGTCACTTGGCGGCAAACCTTCGTCCTTCTTCGGTCTGTCTGTCGCTTTTCTCTCAGGCCAAAAGCTATTTTGATTTATTTTTTTCCTTCACTTTTTGCTTTTCACGTATTTTTATTTTTTTATTTTTTAGAAAATTAGAGTAGAACGAGCTTCTTGATTTCCCATTGAAGTGCGGCGCAAAAGGAAAAATAATAATACATTTTGCTGCTTGGCATTTAATTTAATTCTAATTTTATTTATAAAACGTGAAGTGAAAGTTTGAGGTGGGCGGAACGGGGCGGGCACTTGTAGCTTAAATGAAGTTTGCTAAGTACTTTCCAACAACAACCCGAGTACGCGTACTTCAGGTTTGAAATTTCATTATTTTCGTATTATTCGCACACAAGTGCCATCATGTGCTCGAGAAAGCAGAGCCAAGATGGGTGGGTGCTCCGCTCTGGGCTCTGGGCTCTGGCCAGAAGGTGAACAGAAAACACACAATTTTCTAATTTCCCCAAGCGGCGTGGGAAATGACAACCTGCCCGCCCATGCGGACATCGGCATCAGGTTACATCTGTTGTACAGTTATACTAAACTTAAGGTATGGAAGTCACATATAGCTTGTAGTCACTCACCGGCATAGTTTGACTTCCGTGTAGATTGGCTATTGCTGACTGAGCCTCCTGTTGCGTTCCGAATTTGACGAATGCGCAGCCTGCAAGTGAGATGTACGATATGTTGATTAACGCTCGGGATTGATTAACTAGTTGATCGTATAACTAATTCAGTCAGGTGAACTCAATTGTTTCGCCATCCCTTGCGAAAAATAACGGAAGTTTCCGCAATATTGAATATTGAATATTGAATTTAAAAATCAGGAAAAATTCCACAAAGACCAATTGAGTGGTGCTGAGTGCGGGCGGGAGGGGGGTATGGGGCCCGTAAGCTGATGCAGCTTCAGATACTCGTACAGCCGCGACGGTTTCGGTGGCATGGCATGTGCCTGAGTGTATGCGTGTGTGTGTGTGTGTGTGTGTGGGAGCATTTAAATAAAATTTTAAGTGCAATTAAAAAACATTTTTGCAAGAATCGCTTCGTGCACTCTAGCATGAAAATCAACATGGACATAGGGTGGCAGCTTCATGGCAGCGTCATGCGAGGGGGGCATGCACAGGCAACGCACAGACTCAGCGCCCATCATCGTCCATTATATAAAAATAATAGTCGGCCTGCGTTGGACTGGAATGGAGGGAATGTAAAATTCAAACCGAACCGAACCGAACCGAACATATACAAAAAATATTCGCTGCACTTGCGCGCTCATTATATTGTAATTTGGGTGCCAGCTGCTGGGCGGAGAGGGCTGGGTGGTTTTTCAGAGCCCGGCTTCAATGGCATAATTATTAAAAATCATTTATGCTAATTTAATATACAGTAATAACCACAAAAAGTAAGGACTTTCCAGGGGAGGCGGAGGCACAGAGGGACAGAGTCGGAGTAAGTGCGGTTTATGCCACATGTAAGCTGGTGCTTGAAAGCGATTTTAAAATGCGGTAAAAGCGGAATGGTTCAAGTATTGTTTTACATTTGTAAATGGAGAACAAATTAAGAGTTTCATCAGAGGCTGGAGCAGGGGCAGGTGCAGAGGCAAGGGCAGTATACCTGGATAGTTTGAATTTATAATATTTTACATACGAGCATGTACATTATTTACCTCTATCCATACTTTCCCTAGGAAGTCTAGTCTATTTATCTTCTGTGTTTCCCGACCCCCAAGCCAAGGAATTAATTAGGGCTTCTGCCGGGCTATCTTCCTGGGCTTAACCTTTGCTCTTCGCTTGTTTTTTCTGTTCTTTACGCAACAACATCAACAATGTTGAAAATTAAGACCCTCCAGCACCCCAGGGAAAGGGATGGGGCACAGCTATAGCCGTTTGAAAACCCTCCCAAATGTCTAATTCCCAAACCCTTGGCCCGGCGAGGGTTCGGCCTGGGTGGGTGTCCAAATTGTGGCTTGGGCTCGTGCTCCTGCTCCTGCTCCTGCTCCTGCCCTGCTTGTTCTGGTTGCCCTGGTTGTATCTGTTGCCTTTGTAGTTGACGCTATTCCAGATGGGAGTTTTAAGGGAGTGGTGGAAAGGCAGTGGCAGTGGCAGAGGCAGAACAACAGAACAAATCCCGCCTAAAACCATGCAACATGCGAGCTGACAAGCCGAAAGGCAGACAAGCGCAAATTTCGCGTGCAAACAGCGCGAAGAGCTGGAAGCGAATCCCCTTTTTCCTTTTCGTTTTTGTTTTCGTTTTTTTTTTGGGTTCCTCTCCCAGAAAATGTACAAAAAATAAAGTGTAAAAAATTCAAGTGGATTTTTGTTCGGCCCGCCTCGTCTGTGGACTCTCGACTCGACTCGACTCTTGTGTATTTTATGTTTTGTGTGTTGAAGTGACAACAAAATCCAGAATTTCTCTGTCCTATACAGCGGACAGGCGCGTAGGCGGACAGCGGACGGGGGACATGGGGCATGGGGCATGGGCAGGGGACACAAGAGTGCAAATCAGCGTTGCTAAACAATAAAAAATAAAATATTTTGTTGCCTGTTAATCCACACACAGCTGCGAAGCAGAGCGAAAAAAGCGAGAGCGAACAACGAAATGGAAAAACAACAGAAAATAACACAAAAAAGCTAAAAAAGCAAGGCAATTGCTAAGCATTTTTGTAAACTTAAATCAAAGTTGATTTTGTATTCCTTTTTTTTCGTGTTTTTCTGTCCGTTTTTTTCTTCGTTTTTGTTTGTACAATATTTTTTTAGGGGAAGACTTCTTTATGTTTATGTGAAATATATTTTTCTTAGCATAACTTTTCTGAGCCAAAAGTTTTGGAACATTGTGGAGGCTTAAATTGTTGTAACAGTCCCACCTATTGTATCTGATGGCCCAAATGATATCTGAAAATGCTTTATAAATGTTTCCTTTGTTACATAACTCTGGTGTTCCTCGTTTCTGTTCCTGGGCAGGGGTAAGTTCTTTATCTCATTTCGTATTTATTGAAAAGTTCCGCAGGCAGGCTCCTCCCGCTCCTCCTCCTCCTCCTCCTCCTTATCCTGCCCAACCCTCCAAGTCAAACACTCGTACTACGATATAACATTCATTAGCGTTTTGGGCAAACACTAAGGAAATACTGGCCATCCAGCTAATTTGTGTATCTTTTACTCGAGTTGGACTCCAAGGATGAGGTCTTGGACTTGGAATTGGACTTGGGAATGTTTCCATTTGACTCGTATTTACCTTTGGCTACGCGACGCACCAACTATCATCAGGGATAATTTGTCGAACTTGGAGTCATTATATTAATTAAAAGCAAATTAGCCAGCCAAAGAGGTGACTCAGACGGAAGTCCGAGTCGGAGCTCATCAGTTCAGTTAGCTCGACTTTTGCTTTGATGTACGATTGTAAGAGTGCTCGCAAAAGAAGAAGTCAAATTCAATTTGCATACAAATCAAGCCAAGGCAGTGGCGAACACTCCTGACAATTAGCGGAACAGGACATCGGGACAGCAGGATGGCAGGACAGTGGGACAGGTGGCAGGACAACGCTCCTCCTTAAAGCTAACAAAGTGCAACTCTTTAATTACTTAACTGCCAGAGAGATGGGACAGATGGGACAGATGGGGGATCCCTCTCTCTTAGAATCCCTGATTCTCGGCAATTAGTTGAAATTAAAATGTGAGCGAGTGCGCCAAGTTTTTAGCGTCTTGTGCAACTTCCGGTGAAGCGTGAAAAGTGCAGGAGGCAGCGCTGGAGACTGGAGACAGGAGACAGGAGAGACAGGAGAGACAAGCAAAAGAGCTGAGCTGAGCCTAATGACACTTTTTAATCAAATATGCTAATGATAATGCAAAAGTTGAGCTGTCATTAAAATTATAGTCGGGAAAAGTTGTTGCTTGTATTTAGCTCTGCCACCCCTCTGTCCCAGAGCTTCCTCGCGCAGGAGTTTATTTGTATTTACAGCCGTTGAGAAATACTCATCATAATGGTTTCCTCCGATACGGTACCATTATGGCCAAGTGCCGTACTTTTCCATCGGGTTATCGGGCGACATTTGGCCTTAATGGGTCAATCTCTGACTGCCCCAAAAAGTATGGTACGACAATTGAGTTGCACGAGATTTCATGCAAACACATGCGATTATGGTATTTATGGTGGAAGGAATGGGCCCGAGGGGGCGTGAGGGGCCTGGATGGTATTCATGCCTGGCCACAACTTGCACATTTGCAATACAAATTTGCAATGCCATTAATGTATGGGAAACCCCAATTCTCCCCCTGGTCACAAAAAAAAAAAAAAATACCCCAAAATGCCTTGCCATGAAAAATCGCCGCTGGTCAAACACGTAACCAAATTGTGCACAGCAGCAGCAGCAGTAGCAGCAGCAGCAGGAGTGGTAGCAGCAGGAGTGGCAGCAGCAGGAGCGAAGTGGCAGAAGGATGAGGAGGAGAAACAGCACCAGAACGAGAACCAGGAGTAGCAGCAACAGCAGGAAACAAGGATAACGAGCGTGTTGAGGCCCCCCAACCGCCGTCCCAAACTGTTAACGGGGTTTGGGTCGATATGTTGGCCTTGTCGGCTGGAAGGATTGTGGAAGCAGCAGCAGTAGTAAGGGTAGTGGCAGGCTCATGTTATGCCCGGGCCAGGTTCTCTGCCCCGGCCCCTGCCTGCCTGTGATGCCTGATGTTGCCTGCCGCCGCTCCTGCTGCTGCTGCTGCTGCTGTTGTTGCTGCATGGGACAAGTATTTTAAAATCCAATTAAAAACGCCCTAGTGGGATTTTTCAATCGCTGCTACTACTGTTGCTGTTGGTGCTGCTGTTGTTGCTGCTGCCTCCGATGTTGACAAGGGGAGGAGGCAGGGAAGTCTGGACAGGCATCAGCAACAAAGTTGCATTAAGCGCGCGACATTCGTTGGCCACCGGTCGCGTCACAGTCATTTGTCGGAGAGAGGACCAACCACCAACGACCAACGACCGACAACCGAGCATGGAATCAGAGATGGGAGCGGGGATGAGCGGGATAGGTCGCCCCGACTGGACCACGTTGATGGCCATTGCATGTTTGCCTCTTGGGCGCAAGAGCGTAGCATGAATCTTGTTAGCCAACGTTTACGCTTATTATGCCCCGGCAAGGCTATCGAATTTGTTTGATGCATGATGAAGGATGCTAGCATGGAGGCTAGGATGGATGCCGACCTCCACTCATCTGTGGATGTCTGCTCGTACGCCCACTGACTGAAAATTGCATTTGCGGCACGGCACTCGCAGTTGAATGCATCTCATGCCAAAAGAAATCAAATAATCTCATCCGAATGCAACATATGATGTCCCGGACAGGTAACTAATGTCGTTTCAAGTCACTCCAACGGGTAGACGTAGACAGAGGAGACATATGTGTCCACAAAACTTTGACCAGCATTTCTAATCAAGTTTATCGCAGGCAGAACTTATCAATATGGCCAACTACGAGTGCTCGTACGAGCTGCCAAACACAAACACAACTGCGACCCGACCCGACTCGACCCGACCCAGCCGCCTGAAATTGAACTCTGCCAGGCATGAGCCCCAGCACTTTGCATACAAATCACATATAGTCCATGGGGGCTGTGTCCATCCCCATCTCCATACCCATACTTATACCCCACCACACACACTCTCTCTCTCTCTCTCTCTCTCT